AAAAACATTTTTATTAGTCTTAAAATGACTCTCATTCTAATAACTAGCCATAGTGTCAGAAGTATGGGCTGGGGTCATTCTTCAGCTTTTGAGAGCAAAAATATCACACGCTCTTATTTGTTGGTATTTTTGATATTGGATTTGTGTAAAGTGCTCATATGCTTGAATAATAAGGAAAGTGAGTTTTTATCATTTTTCTCTGAAAACCACCTAGGGTATTCTGAGAGTCTCCTTGTTTAAAAGACAAACAGGTCTGCAAACTTGCTGGGTAGCATTTAAATAATCATATTAAAATTCAGACTTAACATCCACAGTTCCCTGAGTGCTGTCAGTTTTTGAGAAACTGGAAACTCATGCTAAACAACTAAGAATACTCAGTATGTCCGTGCTCCCTCCCAACAAGTTCTTAGTGGCATGGGGGGGGGGGTCACTCTGTGATCGTTAGGACGGTGATCCATTGTCTTCAATTGCTTTCTACTTTGGCCGGGTTTCAGCACTTGGTTCTAATTTGTGGGAGATCTTCAGACCGTTACCCGTCTGTTGTGTCTGTGCCTCTAGACACAACATTTGAAAGCAGGAAGCTCAAATCTGGTGGGTCAAACAGGGTTAATTTGGGGAAATGCAGACATGCAGGTGCTTTTTAATTTGGAAATAACTAGGTTGTTTCTGTTTACCTGAAAACATACCAATAAAGGACACTTTTTAGTCATTGCCATTTTTTTTTTACCCTTTCCTTTTCACCATCCCTAAATACTGTTTACTGAGCACTCACCTGGTGATGGCATTGTGCTGGGCAAAGTGCAAGACAAACGAGAAAGGTCCTGTTTTACTCTCCTAGGCATGAGCCCTCTAAATTCCAGTACGTGGAAACAGGCACTGTGTAGAGTTTTGAGCTAATAATTTTCCAGATGGCAAATCAACTTAAATTATCAATTTACTTAAATACTATGAGCTTTATAAAATAAATAACAAACAAACAACTTTCTCTTGGAGGTGGGGATTCTGCCTTTTCTCCTAAGCTTGAGAGATTATTTTATAGTTTGGAATGTAAGAGGCTTTGGGCGTGTCTGGCTCCTTTCAAGCGTGGTGACACAGTTATGTCTGTTATAAATGCAAAGAAAGGCTTTGGGACAACTGGCAGATGGAAAGGGTATATCAGGGATGTGTAGAAGTAGGATTTCTAGAAGCATGTTACAGTGTAGCAGGGAGTGTAGCAGAAAGGACTCTCTGAATGCAGGATGGTGAGGCAGTAGCATTACGGAACTTTCTAAGAAATATTTGGATAGCTTTGATTGCATAGATTCTCAGCTATGACACTTCAGATAGTGAAACATTTAAGGTAGTGAGTATTTGTATATTTTAACCATCAACTATAGCTGTATTAAACTTAATTTAGTCTTATTAAAGATGTGAGAATAGGTGATGCATTACTTGTTTCTTAGGTGTCTTGATATAATATTTTTTGTCAACGTTTCATTGATGAGTCCGTGTCTTAAATCTTTGGCTTGATATGAGACATAATTTATTTCTCATTTTGGGGGACTACTCTCTATTAGACATTGGCATCCCACAAATTAAGTCACCAATTAGATGATCCTGGTTTCATCCAAAGAAGCACATTGTCTCCCTCTTGCCCCACCCCTACTGTAGTGTCACCCCCAGCCCCTTGCTTTTCTGCCAGAGGGGCAGAGACACCAGAGTTTTAGGGATCCATCTCCCAAATGGGTCAAGGAACAGCCTACATAATCCAAATGTATTCTCTGAGCTCTAAGTAAAAGCTTTAGTTGTGCTTTACTGTCTTAGTTCCCTCGTGGTTTATAGACCATCCTTAGGGGTAAAGCGGGGCTATTTACAGTTTTCACAATTACAAGATTTTCAACCTTGATGATGCCAGTTCAAGCTGTTGATTGGTTATCATTTCAAATTGCTCTTGCTGTATTTTTCTTTGTTGTTTTCTTGGATGATTTTGAAAACAGAAGACGTTCACTCTTGAGTTTGTGTTTATAAGAATGTTTTGCTGTGTGGCAGAGCTTGTTTTGCTATTGCTGTCTAAGAAATACTGGAGCAACTGTATGTTTTGACCAATTTGTTAGTAAAGGTCAATTTCGTGCCTATGGTAATCAGCTTAGCTTACTCTCAACTTTTGTTTAATTCTGGTAATTTCCCATGAAAGAATATATTTAGTGGAAAAGAAGTTCATTCTTAAACACAGCGAATTTTTTCCCTTTGCTTTCAAGATTGTTTAATTTAGAAAGTGATTTATCTCTCCTTTTGAAGCAAAAACTCCTAAAAGACTGTGAAAAATGATGAAGTTGTTCTTAAGGATGGACAAATTATTTGAAGGGAGAAGTGGAAAAAGGCCTACACAGTAGGTGAAAGGAAGGACTTATTTAATAATAAAAATTGACCAATTTGAGGAAGGGCTCACTTCCGATCCTCTTCTGATCCTCTGTAATAAAATCTACAAGGAAGTCTTCCTCCTGCAGCCTCATTCTGTTTTTGATAGCAAGGAGATTAAACATTGCCTTGAAAGAACCTGTCTTTAAGCACTGTACTTACAGTCTTGATTTCCTTGCAGACCCCAACTGTAAACTTGAAGACAAGACTGAAGATGGAGAGGCACTAGACTGCAAGAAGAGGCTGGAGGACGGGGAGGAGCTGGAAGAGGAAGCCGTGCACAGCTGTGACAGCTGCCTCCAGGTGTTTGAATCGCTGAGCGATATCACCGAGCATAAGATTAATCAATGTCAGCTGACAGGTAAACAATACTTATCACTTCTTGTCTTCTCGTGCTGTTCTAGTTCTGATTTGTTGCAGTTTGTTTCTTTATGTGTTTTTCTCTTCCAGTTATCTTCCTCCTGCACTTGAACTCCTAGGTGTGTCTAGTAGTGCCTTTGAAAGAATTCTAAGATGGTTATTTTGGGGCAACCTTACCATCTAGTCCTTAGATTTTTAAAGACACCTAAATTTAGTAGTTAATGAGTATCCTTTCTTTTCCTTTCTCTTTCTTTTATCTCTCTCCTTCCCTCCCTCTCTTTTCTTTCTTTCTTCCATCTATAGCAATGGAAGCACAATGTAATTTGGATAACTAAAATGAAGTAAAAAATTCTTTTGACTACTTCCCCCCCAAAATTCAGCATGTATTATTTTAACCTAAGTATTGTCTCCTTAAGGAAACTTCCTTATACCTCTCTGCCTGAGTTTGGCATCCTCCCTGCCTCTCTTCTTTCTCCCTCTCTTCCTCTCTCCTTGTTGTCTCTCTCATCCATCTCTATCTATGGTCTCTCTCTCTCGCTCGCTCTCGCTCTCGCTCGCTCTCGCTCTCGCTCTCGCTCTCGCTGTCTCATCTCAGCACTGGCAGTTGAACCTGGCATCTGTTTCTTAGCACACTGCGAATGTGCTCAAGTACTATTGTACCGCAACCTCATTCTCTGATATTTCCTCCTAAATACCCAAATCTTCCCTTTTCTGCTTCCCTCATTGACGTGCGAGTGTGTGGATGTCAGGAATTGTACCTTGTTCATCTCCGAGCCTAGCACAGGGCCTGTCTGTTGTAGACACTCACTAAAGCTGGCGAGCTCTTCTGCTATCTGGTTCATCAGGAGAGTCAGATTTAAAATCACACAAAGCACAGCATGCCCTGTGTAATGACTGAATAAAACTGATTCTCAAGTTTATAGGATATCTGCACTGTAACAGTGTGGTCACTCTCTACATTCATGGAGTCTACACGTATGAATTCAACCGAGTGTGGATCAAAACTATTTGGGAGTAAAGAAAACGTCTGTAAGGGGCAGGTATAGACTTCTACAGTTTTTATCTTTATTTCCTAAACAGTGTGGTGCAACAGGTGTTGACATAGCATCTACAGTGGGTGAGGCTTCTTAAGTAATAGAGGTGAATCGGGGACACATGTAGATCCTACACAGAGACTGTGCTCCTCGGTGTAGGGAAGTTAAATGCTGGTGAATTTTGATGTCCTTTGAGGTCCTGAAACCTGTCCCTGGGGTGTGAGTGATGCCCAGTGTCCCAAAGCATGAGCTCTGAGGACTTGGCTGGGCTCTGTTAGATAGATGTCTTTGTTAAGATTTGAGTCATTTTTCTTTTGCTTTTTGAAGCTGACTCTGCTCTTGTTGTGAGTGTGTATCTTTCTCTCTTCCTCTCTTTTATTTCTCTGGCTCAGATCTTTTTAAAATTAGCTGTGTATGGGAAATATATTTTCTGCATGAGTGGTTCCCCAACTCTTTTCCATAGGATATGTGTATTTTCATTAGATTTTGATGACCATTCCACTTTACAAAGTTTCTCTAACTGAATATTGTGGAAGTGCTGGATTAATCTCAGTTAAATAGGTTTCGTTATTAAAGTGCATTGGGGTGGATCCTCACTTCAGAAAGGGCTCACCCTGAACACGTTTATGAGGTCATGGAATCTTTCATTCAGAAGACTCAGCACTTTTTTGGAATGATGCCTATGAATTATTATGTTTTCTGTGTTTTAATATCGATTTGGGGTAGTTTCAATTTAGATAAAATTCCAAACTTAAAGAAATATCATAAAATTAATACAAAAATTTCTCATATATTGTTTGTCTACTTCATTCACATTTTGTCTTGCTTACCTCATCATTCCTATACTCTCTCACTGTCTCTCTCTTTTCATCTTTCCTTTTACCATTTTGTTGTCATTTGAGGGAGCATTCAAGATACTATACCCTATAAATATACTCTGTATGTTTCCTGTGAACAAACACATTCTCCTACATAGCCAAAGTATATTTACCAAAATTAAGACAGTTAGCACCTGACACCAGTAGATACTATCTACTATCTGATACACGTTCCATATTTAAATTTCAACAATTATTCTAATAATCACTCTTATAAAGTTATTTATTTAATTGTTTAGTTATTTATTTGGTATAAGGGCTTGCTATGCAGCTCGGACTTGTAGTGATCCTTCTGTCTAAGCCTCCCCAGTGCTGGGATTGCACGTGTGTGCCACCACACCCGGTTTCGGTGGCTGGCACAGCATCCCATTTGTTCTGGGCCAGCACAGTATTTGGTACTGGGGATCGAGCCTGGGTCCTTGCGCTTGCCAGGCAGGCACTTAGACCAACAAACTTTCTCCCCAGCCCAATAATTACTCTTATAACTATCTTTTTTCCCTCATCCAGGACTTAGGATCATGTATAACACTTTATTTTCATGTTTCTTTTGACTTCTTTCAGGATTTTTTCTTTTTTTACTTTCTCAACCAGTGCATTTTCCCAGAGAAGCTGAAGTAGCTCATAGGTTGACATCACTTGGGTTTGTCTGATGTTTCCTCGGGATTACATCCAGGTGATCTGCTTGTGGCAGGGACACCAAAGTGATGTCCTGCTCTTCTCAATCCACCAGGAAGTGCAAGATGTTTGTTTGCTCCGATGGTGCCATGTCAGTGGTGAAACCTTGGGGAAGGTGCTGCCTGGCGTCTCTAGTACACACTTCCCATTTTCTTAATTAGCTTAAGTAATTTATGAGCAGATACTTTGATGCAGATTATCTTAATATCCTCAAATCCACAAAATGTTCACCCACTGTTTGTGTACCTATCATAACTGTAGTATCTGTTACCACTTGATCTACTGTAGTTTTCTTTCTTAGTATTTTGCCCTGTATTCACTTTACTGTGGACTTTGAGATTTTTATTCAGTGGGTCATAGTTCATTATTAACATTTTTTTGTTGGTGGTGGTGGTGGGGATTGAACTCAGGACCTTGCGCTTGCCAGGCAGGCACTTATGCCGCTGAGCAATATCCCCAGCCCTTATAATGCTTATATTGCCTTTGATTTAGCCAATGGGAGTACAGTCAAACTAGATCCTCTTTCTGTTTCATATGTCTCCACTATTAGTTGAGGACTTACTTAGTTTCTACAGATGAACAGATGCTGGAGGCCATCATGTTCTTTTCTTATCCCAGTTCTACAGTCAGCCAACCGCGCTTCCCCTCCGTCCATCTCTCTTCTTCCTCTTCCCCACTTCGTAGCCCTGGTTCATTGTAGAGGACAAGGCACTTACAAGCCAAGAAACGGATGTTATGTAGCTCCTTGTTACAAATGTACCATTATCTGTAGGTCCTTCAACGGATACAAAAATACAGCACATTTAATATGATATGTAAAATACCTACATGGCACAATTCATAAAATTCACACATGTAAAAGTATATGCACGTGCATCTATTTTTCTTTCACTATCCAATAAAAACCATGTGCTCATATGGGCATCTCTACTTCAGTCCAACATCTCAGGTACATCCTAGTCTTTTCCCTTTCTGTATTGTCTCCTCTTCCTCCTCCTCCTCCTCCTCCTCCTCCTTTTCTTCTTCCTCCTCCTCCTCTCCTCTTCTTCTTCTTCCTCCTCTCCTCTTCTTCTTCTT